AGCTAAATTCCTTGAAGTGGAATTGCTCGATAAGCGTTTTCAATTTCGATAACACCTAATTGTTCCCCGGAGGGGCCATACCATTTTACAATGCCATCACATACATACAAGAATACTTGTCTTTCCTTACCCTTGGCAACATTTTGTCATTCTTATGGGGGGAAAAATTGGCTTCTTTTTCTTGTTTTTATTTCCAACTAAGAGTAAGATTGAACATCTTTTTTTTTTTTTGAGTTGGAGTCTCACTCTGTCGCCCAGACTGGAGTGCAGTGGCCGCTCCCGGCCACCGCAGCCTCGACCTGCTGGGCTCCTGCGATCCTTCCGCCTCAGCCTTCCAAGTAGCTGGAACTACAGGCGCGCGCTACCACGCCCGGCTAATTTTTGATTTATTGTAGAGATGAGGTCTCACCAAGCTGCCCGGGTGGGTTTTGAACCCACAGGCTCAGGCAATCCACTCACCTCGGCCTTCCAAAGCGCTGGGATTACAGGCTGAGCTACCGAGCCTGGCCTTGAACATCTTTACATGTTTTTTAGCCATTTAAATTTCTTCTTTTGTAAGAGATATTCTCTTGATACAGGTAGACTCAATGTTTGCATACATGTTTGTAATAGAGACGAACTTGACCTTTTCTTTAATTTTGCTATTTTCCTTTTGGTGTCAAGATTAGACTAGTCTCATGGAATGTGTTGGATAGCTTTTTCTATCTTGTCCATATTCCAGCGAAGTTTGCATTAGATAGTCTTACTCTAGCAAAACTATCTTGGCCTGGGCATTTTGGGATCGGAGTAGGTCTTATAATACCATTTCAATTTCATGGATGATTATTAGTCTACTTTTGTTCTTACTCCAAGTTTTGTGATTTGTATTTTTGACAAAAATTACTTCTTTAATTTTTCAGATGTATTGGTATACTATTGGTTCATGTGTCCTCCTATTCTCCCTAAAATTTTTACTCAATCTGGTATGATCTTTTCACCATTTACAGTATGTGCCATTTACAGACCATTTTCTTGATCAATTTTATGAGACATTGTCTATTTTATCAGTCTTTAACAGAACACTAGCTTTTGGCTCCTACAGTCAACTTCATTTTCTTTTGTTTTTTGTTTTACTCATTTCTGCTTTTTCATTATTACTTTCTTCTGCTTTCTCTGGGTTTATTTAGAGGTTATTTTTCTTCCTCATACATAGGACAATGAACCCTTTTACATTTTTTCTTTTTTTTAATAAGTATACTTATGGCTCTAACTCTTCCTCTAATTATTGTGTCAGTTGGCTCCCAGAAGTTTTATGTCAGGCTTTCATCGTGACTTATTTCTAGATACTTTTGTAATTTCCATATAGGTTTCTTTTTAATTTGTGTTTTTCAGTTTCTAAATGCACATTCTTTTTCTTTTAAAAATGTGGTGTCTTTTAAAAATGTGTGATAAAATCATGCAACATACAAAAAGGTCTAAAAATTAATATAATGAGCATTTATGTCCATGTTCCTGTATTCATCACCCAACTTAAGAAATAAAACTCAAATGTATGCTTATAACTTTACATTTTATTTTTTATAAGTCATAGATATACATGGTTTTTTTGTGTGTGTTTTTTTTTAAAACAAGTTCAATCTGACTTCCTGACCCCTTCCTCAGAAGCAACTGTAGTTACTAATTTAAGGTGTATTCTGTGTGCTGTATGGGTTTCTTTCTGTTGTTGATTTTTAAATTTACTGCATTGTGGTTCATGAATGTCATCTATAAATTCTTTGGAATTTATTGAAGCTTCCTTTGTGGTTCAGTATATAGTCAATTTCTGTAAATGCTCCGAGCACATTTGAAAAGAACAGATAATAGACCAAAGTTCTTTTTCTAAAATACAAACTTGATCTCATCGCTACTGTTAGCGTTGATAGTCTTCAGGTACGTACAACAAATTTATGTACACAGAGTACTTATACATTTTAGGGGCAACTTTCAGAAGACCTTGGGCCTGTCAGAGTGGTCCAGTGTCAGAGGGCCCAAGGTCTGCACGTCAAAGGGTCTAATAAATTCTCCTTGAACCCGCTAAGGAACGGGCCGTCTTCTGAGTAGAGTTGTGCTGAGGCAGGCTAGTCACCCTGTGGGGATCCCTCAGCATCGTGAACCCCAGTCCTCCTCACTCCGCCTCACCAAGACCTCCAAGCTGCCGCACCCCCTCCATGCAAGTGGTGACCACCTCCATGCAAGTGGTCAGCCCTCTCTCCTCTTCCTATTTCTGCCTGCCCGTACCATGATGGATTGCTTCAAAGCAACATCCTCCAGTTGCTTCGCCTCCTAGAATCAGGTGCATTTGGCCAACCAAGGCTCACAAGAGATGAACTTGACATAGCCTCTGCTCTGAGGTCCCTGGGATGGGGATGGGAGACTGGAGGGGGGGTGGATCAGATATTCGACCATCATGTCGCACACTTATGGCTTCCACTGTAGCTGGACCCTCGCTTTGGCATTCCGCTCGGCATCCGCTCCAAACCTGCCTCTTCTCCTCAAATACCCTCACCCCCTTTATTCAGCAGAATGATATGTTTGCTACTTTATGGAAAAAATAACCAACATCAGGGTGAGCCTTTATTTAGCCATTTTCACTTCCTCTCCTCCTGTTTCGGAAGTGTCCCTCTTTCTTCCTAGGGTAAGAGTGACCCTGTCTCCATGTGCCCTTGACCCTCTTGTCTGTTTTTATTCTACGGATCATTTCCTCTGCTCCCGAGTCTTCAAGGCTTCCCCTTCCTAAACCATACTTCCTGAAAGAGCAGTCAGTGCTCCCTCTCCAATCCAGCCGTCATCTTTGCTCCTCCTGGAGTCCAATCTGACTTCCTCCCGAGTCTGCCCCTGTTCGTCATCCTTCTGACATGTCTTTCCTATGTGCCTCTGATACCACTCAGTCTTGAATCTCTTTTTACCTCCTTTCTTGGCCCTTTGATCTTGAAATGTCAGTGTTCCCAATGTTTTCTGTTCTTGGTCTTCAGCTTTTACCTGTCTACACACCAGGAAAGCACACGCTTGACCAAAAGCTATGGTCTCTCCCAAGCTCTAAACAAGTGCTGCCAAGGGAGAATGCTGACCCATCGTTGTCAGACATCCCCACTTTTAAAGTGAGCACTCAGATATCCCAGGGTTTTATGTGAAATGCCCCAACTTTAAATATTGATCATGGGCTGCGTGTGGTGGCTCACGCCTGTAATCCCAGCACTTAGGGAAGCTGAGGCGAGAGGACTACATGAGCACAGGAGTTCAATACTAGTCTGCAAAAAAATTAGCCAGGCATGGTGGCACACGCCTTTAGTCCCAACTACTCGGGAGGCTGAGGGGGCAGGATCACCAGAGCTCAGGGGGTTGAGGCTGCGATGAGCTGTGATTGTGCCACTGCACTCCAGCCTGGGTGACAGAGTGAGACGCTGACTCAAAAAATAGACTAAATGAAATAAAAAATAAATATTGGTACTACACGGAATTTTTAAAAAAACATTGTACAAGGTGAACAATACATAGATGTTCCTCCTTAGGGCTGTTTCCTTCTCTTATTTCACTACACATTAGGTAGTTTATAAAGTACTCTATTAGTAATGAGAGCTCACACTTATTGAGGACTTACTACATGTCACTTCTCAGTGGTTTGTGTTTAATCTTCCTTTAACCTTCACAACAATCCTAATGACAAGGTGCTATTACTAAACCAGCTTTATAGATGAGCAAACTGAAGCTGAGAGCTTGAGTATAGTTGTCCCTTAGTATAAGTGGGGGATTGATTCCTGAACCTCCATGGACACCAGAATTTTCAATGTTCGAGTCTCTTATGTTATGGCAGAATATTTTGGCATATAACCGACATAAATCCTCCTGTGTATTTAAAGTCATCTCTAGATCACTTATCGTACCTAGTACAATGTAAATGCTATGTAAGTAGCTGCTACACTTGGGTTATTTTTTAAATTTTTATTATGCTTATTGTTATATTGTCATTGGTTTTTTTTCTCCCCCGGCTATTTTCAATCCACAGTTGGTTTAATCCCTGAATGGGAAATCCGCAGACACCGGAGAGACGACTGTACTTCCTTCTGGGTCTCAGAGATACTGCATTTAAGGACCAGGATTTAATCTCCACCATTTAGTTCCAGAGCTTAAGCTTTTAACCACAACTTTACTGCTTTCCCACTCAGCAGATAAGGAAACTGAGTCCAGAGGTTGTCCAAGGTCACAGGGGTGGTAAGTGGTCAAATAGGGGTTTCAGCATCGCTCACAGAGGTAGATAGCTGCACTTACTCCTCTCCTGTAACTAGTTACCTATTTCCCTCTGCTAGTCTGTGTCCCCAGCTCTCAGACTAGAATACAAATATGCATGAAACAAACGCCTTGCAGATTCTACTCACTTCCCTGAATGCATTCATTTCCTTTTCACAACAATCACTAGGTGAGATGACAGCCAACATTTAATCAGCACTTCCATGGGACAATTTCCAAGTGCCATGCTACTGACCACCTGACATACATGAACTCATGACCGTGACGTGTAAGGACTATTCCCATTTAATGGAGGAAGAAACTAAGGTTCAGAGCAGCTCAGGGACTGGTCCAAGCTCCGGCAACACGTAAGTGGCAGAGCCAGGATTCTAGCTCGGGCTGTATGAAAACAGCCCTCATTCTAGACCTCGAGGCCGTGCCACAGATGGGGAAACGGAGGCTGGGGGCAGGGCTAGCTTGTATCCGCGGAATCGTGGCCAATGAAGGCAGCACAGGCTGCACGCCGGCTCTTCTTCCTCCTCATGGGTCGGGGGTGCTTCCGCGGTGCCGAGGGCGGAGGGCGACAGGCGAAAGCCCCTTTGAGTTAAGCGCCTGCGCCTGCGCGGGAAGCCGCATACTCGAGACCCGACCCACGAGGCGGAAGCACCATGGCAACAGCCTGGCTACGCGAACCGGAAACACGTCACCCAAAGGCGGGACGCCGGAAGTCGCCCATGGGAGAGCCGAATTTGCGTTCGCCCCGCCCCGAAGGACACCGAGCCCGCCTTCCGACACAGCTGCGGGGCACAGTCTGGTCAGCGCTTGGGTCCCGCGGTGGGTAAACGCGGGGGGCCGAAGGGGCAGGAGGGGGGCTTCGAGAAAGGCGAGGGGAGGACGGAAGGTGGGGCCGGGCGAGACAGGCGGCGGGTCAGGCCCCGGGGTCGGCCCCGTGGCGGCGACGGAGTGTGAAACGAGGGGCTTCTGCTTTCCTGAGGGGGAAACTGAGGCCCGAGAGGGCAGCAGAGGCGAGTCGCCCGGATCTAGCCCCTCGAGACACACGCATGCACACACACACACGTCGTTAATATTAGGTGGAAAAAAGCAAAACAGAAAATTCCCTTCAGCCCGGGCGTCAGTCTGAGGAGGGCTCGGGCTCGGGCTCGGCCCCGGCGGCCTCCGCCTCCCCGCGCCGCCCTCCGTGCTCCCACCCGTTCGTTGTGCAGAGCTTCTTACTGCTACAGGCCCACAGCCCCTCGTTTTTACCAGTACTCACTCATGTATTTCTTGAGTCGGGGTCTCCCTCTGTCTCCCGGGCTGGCGTGCAGTGGCGCAACCATGGCTGGCCGCGGCCTCGGTCTCCTGGGCTCAAGCGGTCCTTCCTTCTCGGCCTCCGGAGTCGCTGGGATGACAGGCGATCCCCCCCCCACGCCCGGCTAGTTTGTAAAATTTTTGTAAAGGCGAGGCCTCACTCTGCCGCCCGGGCTGGTCTCGAATTGCTGGGGCTAAAGCAGTCCTCCCGTCTCGGCCTCCCCAAAGGCTGGGATCGCAGGCCTGAGTCACCGCGCCAGACCTATAACTTTATTATTCACTCCTTTTTCAGGGTTACGTGGACTGAGAGTGCCGTTTTTTTCTTTTGTCTTTTGAGTTGGAGTCTCACTCTTGCCCATGGTGGAGCAGCTTCGGCCCGCTAGGCTCCGGCGATCCTTCCGCCTCAGCCTTCCGAGTAGCCGGAGCTCCAGGCGCGCGCTACCACGTCCGCCAATTTTCTGATTTCTTGTAGAGACGAGGGCTCGCCAAGTTGCCCAGGCGGGTCTCGAACCCCTGGGCGCAGGCTGTGCTCCCACCTCGGTCTCCCGACGTGCTGGGATCGAAGGCGTGAACCACCTCGCCCAACCGAGTGTCTTGAGAACAGGAATTGAGCTTCGCATTGCGACCCCTGCCCCGGTCCCTAGCTCCTGCGTGTGACCTTGTGCCCTTTTAGCCTGTTTCCCGCATCTGCAAAGTGGGGGCGGTCACGCTTGCCTCATAAGGTGCTGATGAGGATAAAACGAGGCCGGCGCCTCAAGCCCCGGCGTCGCGTTGGCGCGCGGCACCAACGGCGTGTCTGAGATGTGCTCGTCCCACCCGGGTCTCGCTGGGCAGACCGCCTCCGGGGCGAGCCCTCCCCGGCTCCCCGCCACCCCTCTTCTTAGAGACCACGGGCGTTAACGCAGACGTGGGCACGTCTCTTTGTGCACCTCTTCCAGCCCTGCTCTCCCCGCCCCTTTCCCCCGTTGTAGAGCGTTTAGTCCTATTCTGTACCGCATTCTTCTCATTAACATTTCTTTTGACTGTTATTAAACCTTCACACCTTTTAAAAATTGTATGTGGCCGGGCTGGGTGGCTCAGCCTGTCATCCCAGCACTTTCGGAGGCCGAGGCCAGAGAATTCCCTGAGCCCGGGCAACTTGGTGCGACCTCGCCTCTACAATGAATCACAAAAACTAGCCGGGCATGGTGGCGTGCGGCTGTAGTTCCAGCTTCTTGGAAGGCTGAGGCCGAAGGATCGCCTGAGCCTAGCAGGTCGACGCTGGGGTGGCCCTGTGTGTGCCACTGCCCTCCAACCTGGGCGGCGGAGTGAGACTCCAACTCAAAAAAAAAAAAAAAATTGTGTGTTACGTAGCTTTAACATTGTGTGGACATGTAAGTTTGAACAAAAACACCCATGTACCCACCACCAAGTTGAGAAACAGAGCCAGGCCGGTGGCTGGCGCCTCTAATTCCATCACTTTGGGAGGCTGAGGCGGGAGGATTGCCTGAGCCCAGGAGTTTGAGACCAGCCTGAGCAATTATAGTGGGACCCTGACTCTATTAAATAAGTTAACAAAAAGTTATATAAATAGAACATTATTTACATTCCCAAAGCCTCCATTAAATTCTTTTCATCACTCCCCAAAGATGACCCCTGGCTTGAATATTGTGTTACTCGTTCCCTTGCTTTTCTTTGTAGTCTTTACTGTCTGTGTGTGTATTGCTAATGAGTGTAATCCATGGTTTTGCCAAGTTTTGAATTTTAAATAATGGCGGTCCTAAAATGCATTTTGTGTGGCTTGCTTTTTGCACAACATATGTGTTTTTGAGACACATCTGTGTTAATGTGTGTAGCTGTACTTCACCTTGATTGCTGTTTTGAATTCCATGGTGTGATTATAATTGTTTTGTGTAGCTATTCTTTTATTGATAAGCATTTATACGATTTCCAGACTTTTTAAATTACATGGTGCTTCTATGAAAACATGATTCCTGGGACAAATGTGGAAATCTCTGCCAGGTATATACCAAATAATGGACTCTGGGGATATGCATAAGAGCAAATGGTCTGAAATGGATAAGAATTTATGCTGAACCAGCAGTGGTAGAAATGATAATTTCAACCACAGCTATTCTTTTCAAATTTTTGCCTATCTGGTGGTGGGTGAGGCATTTCATTGTGGTTTTTATACTCATTTGCCTGATAACATTGAGATTGGGCACCTCTTTAGTGTATTTATTAGTCATTTGTGCATCCCTTTTTGTTGCCTTTTTTTCCTTTACAATTGTCTTTTCCACCCTAATTTATAGGAGTTCTTTATATATTTTGAATATGAATCTTTTGTATTTTGTAGCATATATGTGTTTCAAATACCCCCCCACCTCTGGTGTTTTTGGTGAACAGAGGTTAATTTTGCAAAGTCAAATTTTGTATTTTCTGTGGGAGACAGGGTTTCGCTAAGATGCTTAGGCTGGTATCGAACTCCTGACCTCTCACCCCAGTCTCCCACAGCGCTGGTATTACAGATATGCACCACTGTGCCTGGCCTACAAAGGCAAATTTATCAGTATATTCCTTTATGATTTGTAGTTTTTGTATTTTTTAAAGAAATATTTTCCTACCCTTGGGTCATAAAGATTTGCGTTGTCTGAAAGTTTTATAATTTTTTCTTTCTATGTCTTTAGCCCTCTAGAACTGATTTTTGTGTATAATGTGTGGTAAGGGTCAGATTTCATTTTATTTTTCACAGATGGGGGAGATAAGTTTTCCTGGCATCTTTTGTTGAAAAGTTTTCTTTGATCAATACACCAAGTTGTCCACATGTGTACACTTTTCTGTTTGGGAGTCCCCTCTTCTATTCCGTTGGTCTTTGTCCATCCCTGTACCACTCCACACAATCTGATACTTTAGCTTGATAAGAAGTCTTGATACCTGGTGGGACAAGTCTTCCCACCATTATCTTCTCCAAGAGAGTCTGGCTGTTTTGCCTCTACATTTTCTGTGTAAATTTTAGAATTTGTCAAATCACACACAGATACATATACAAAGCCTGCTGGGATTTTAATTGGAATTGCATTGGATCAGTTTGGTTTTTAAAGGGATTGCTGTTGACATTTCATCTTTAAGAATTATGTGTACAGTAGGTTTTTTGTAGATAACACTTAATAGATAAAATAAGTTTCCTTCTACTTCAAATCTGTTGAGTTTTTAGTAGGAATTAAAGTTGAATTTTTATCAACTGTATTTCCTGCATCTATTAATATGATAATGTGCTTTTTCTTTCATTCTGTCAATATGGTGACCTGTATTGATTGATTTCCAAATGTTAAATCAGTGTTGCAATAAACCCAGCTAAGTGATTACATGTCATTCATTTTACATTGCTGGATTAGGGTTGTTTTGTTTGTTTGTTTGTTTGTTTTTTAGTTGGAGTCTCACTCTGCCGCAGCCTCGACCTGCTGGGCTCTGGCAATCCTTCCGCCTCAGCCTTCCAAGTAGCCGGAATTACATGCATGCGCTACCACGCCCAGCTGATTTTTTGATTTATTGTAGAGATGAGGTCTCGCTGCCCAGGCGGGTCTCGAACTCGCGGGCTCAGGCAATCCACTCACCTCAGCCTCCCAAAGGCGCGGGATTACAGGCTGAGCCACAGAGCCCGGCTTGTTTTTTTTCTGTTAGGACACATTGTAGCTATGTTGGTGAAAGATGCTGGCCTGTAATTTTCTTTTCTTTTGAAGCCCTTGTTTGGTTTTACTACCCATTATCAGATGAGTTGGGGAGGGTTGGCTCTTTTTCTGGCTTTGAGGTAGTTTGGGTAATACTTGAAACTATTGGTTTCTAGAATGCTTGGTAGACTTCTTGATAGATCCATTAGGACCTGAAGTTTCCTGTCTGAAGATTGACTCCCCATAAAATGTCATTAATGGGTTAAGACTGTTTAGGTTTTCAAATAATTCTTTCCTTATGACTGAACATTAAAACTTCAGATTAATTGTTATAAGTTGTTTATATCATCGTTTAAAAAATATTTGTGTCATCTGCATTTAATTTCTCTTTTCATTCCAAATACTGTTTATTTGTAAGTTTTTTCCCTCTTTTGAAAGAGTTTTTCACTTTATAAGTTTTTTCAAAGAATAATACTGGTTTTGTTGATTTCCTTAGATATATGCTTATTTTTTGTTTTATTAATTTTTTGCTCTATATTATTTTCTTCCTTTAACATTCTTGGATTTAATTTACTGTTCTTTTTATGGCTTCTTAACGCACCACCATTTAAAAAAAACAAAACTTTTTTTTTTAAGTTAGAGTCTCACTCTGTCACCCAGACTGGAGTGCAGTGGCATGATCACAGGTACCGCAGCCGCAGCCTGTTTGGCTCGGTCTGCTGACCCTTCCGGCTCAGTCTGTTGACCCTTTCGCCTCAGCCTTCCAAGTAGCTGGGACTACAGGCATGTGCCACCACGCCCAGCTAATTTACTGACTGATTGTAGAGACAAGGTCTTATCAAATTGCTGGGACTGGTTGCTTCTACCTCCCAAAGTGCTGGGATTACAGGTGTGAACCATCTTGCCTGGCTTCCTAACTTATTTTTTATGTTCATTGTGCCTGTTCTCTCTCTTTTTTTCCTCTCTTCTTTGTTGCTTTCTTTGGGGTTAGTTAAGTGATTATTTTTTTTCTCATTAGATTATTTTACTTTACTAATTCAGATGTCTCTACTTCTGGTTTTTAAAAAGTGGTTACTCTAAAAATTGTAAATGCAAGCGTAAAATTTATTAATGTCTTTTTATTTTTGAGTCAGAGTCTCACTCTGTCACTCAGGCTGGAGTGCAGTGGCACAGTTATGGCCACCACAGCCTTGACCTGCTAAGCTCATGTGACCCTTCCACCTCAGCCTTTCAAGTAGCCAGAACTATAGGTGTGCACCACCACGTCCAGCTAACTTTTCTGATATACCGCAGAGACAAGGTCTCACCCGTGCCCAGCTTGGTCTTTGACTCTGGACGCAGACAGTCCCTTGCCTTCATCACCCAGAGTGTTGGGTTACAAGTGGGAGCCAGCACACCGGACCCCAGACCTACCAAGTCTTGATTCTCCTTCCAGCCATCACAAGCCTGCCAGAACACTACTTTTGGGTATTTTAATTTTTTAAAAATCTCACAAAACACTCTTACTGTTTCATGCAGCCATACATCAACTTGGATTTAACCACATATTTACCCATTTCTTTGCTCTTTTTTCTATCCTGCATTTTAAACCTTCCAACTGGTATCTCTTTCTTCCTGAAATATATGCTTTGAAATTTCCTTCGGTAGGCTTCTCTGGTCACTTACTTTTTCAGGTTTTCATTGTTTGGAGTCTTATCTCACCCTGAGTCTTTAGTTGGGTAGAGAATTCTCAGTTGTGAAACACACCCTGGCAGCATAGTGAAGATATTTTCCTACTGTGACTGACTTCCATTTTGGCCATTGTGAAGTCAGCTGTCAAATTGTTCTTTTGAAAGTAGTCTGAGCCGGGCTCGGTGGCTCAACCTGTAATCCCGCGCTTTGGGAGGCTGAGGTGAGTGGATTGCCTGAGCCCGCGGGTTCAAGACCCGCCTGGGCAAACTTGG